GTTTAACACGTTTGGGATTGGGACTAAACGTTACCCAGTCATAATGAAAGCGGTGTTGGACAAAGTGCAAATCGCAAGAGGAAACAATCTGGAAAGGAACGTCATCATACATTGATGATATTTTTGTAAATGAAGACATAATACCTGTTTGTTGCATACTAGATCATTTGGAAATCTATGGGCTTTTTTGCAACCCGGTGGTCCGCGTATCCGATGGAGCAAGAGTTCTTGGTTTACAAGTCGGAATGGAAAATAAAAAGTTGTTGTTGTCTTGGCAAAGAGATAATGATTTTGGTGAAATTCCGAAATCACTAACAAAATGTTACATCTTTTCTTTGTGTGAAAAAATGACGGGAAATCTTCCAGTTTGTGGTTGGTTGCGTGTAGCCTTGTCATATGGTAGTGGTGTAGTGGTAGAGCGCTCGCTTCATAAGCGAGAGGTTCCGAGTTCGATCCCCACCACATTACTGGTAGTACCGTGCTCAACTCATTTCTTTGTGCAGCGGCCTTGTTCGTATATGGGCCTTAATTGGAAAATGGAAACTCTACACATCTGCACTGATTCGAAAGCGGTATTCCATTGGGTAACCAACGCACTCACAGGAAAATCTAGATTGAGAACAAAAGCGAAATGCTATAAGAAGAAGACTTCATAACATTGCGAATATAGTGGAAGAATACCAACTCAAAGCAGATATTAAATTTGTTGTTACAGAGTTTACTTGGTTGATGCCCTTAATAGAATGCCCAATAGTTGGTTAAAATTGGTTGATAAACCCTATGAAATCGCAGCAAGTGGCATTAGTAGATCTACAGGACATCATGGCGCGAAAAAAATATTGTACTTCCCTAATAAAATCGACCTGTCAGTGAGCAAAGAAGACGTAAAACAAGTGGTTGAGATATGCATAGCCTGTCAATCAATCAATCCAAGTCCGATGAAATGGCCGAAAGGGGAAATAGAAGTATAGAGAACGTGGCAACGACTTGGCATGGACATAACTCATTATGAGGAGCAGCACTTTAATTGACTTCTTACTTTAATCGACTGTGGACCTACACGGTATGCAATATGGCGATATCTTAAAGATCAAACCAGTGCATGTGTTATTCAAGAACTAAACGCAATATTTCTCAAACGAGGAGGTCTAGATGACATACTGATGGACAATGATACTGCATTTCGAAGCACATTGTTTTCTCAGTTTGTGAATAAATGGAAAGTTAAACTTTGATCCAGGTGCGCTTATGTACCTTCGGGAAATGGAATTGCAGAACGATGTCACCGAACTGTCAAAAGAACAGCGAAGAGAGTTCCGTGCAGCATACTGGAGGCAGTTTATTGGTTAGTCCAAAAGATAGTTGTAAGCCTCTACTGCACCTGCAAATAAGTTTTCATCAATACGAAATTAGAGTAAGAGGAATTGATAACAACAAGAAACCTGAAATCCATTTTGCATGGCTTATAACAGGAAATGATTTAAAATTCACTTTTGGAATGGTCTTATGTATTAAAACTTTCTACAACAAGCTAATAATTGATGCAAGAAGTCCATGTCACTTTGCAAGCTTTGTTTCCTTGAAACTTTCTAAAGGAATGATTCTCATAAGAAGATAACCAATAAATTCAAACTTGGCAATAAAGTATGAGTTAAACCCCCGGATAGCCAATGAGACTCTCAATATAAAGTTGGAATAATTACAGGGATAATCTCGGAGCAAACGGTAGAAGTGGACAAAATGTGTCAATATGTACAAGACCTAAGACAAGTAAGAGTTGACAACAATTTGAATGAAGATCTTGGACAAAGAAGAGGTGATAATGATTTAAGTGAGAATTCAGAAGATGAGTAATACCTTGTGCTGCCTGGAGAAAAATCAAGCAAGATGTCAGTGTTATAAGAAAGGAGGGCCCCTGAACATTTTAGTCCTTGAGACAAGATGGTCATTATGTTCAAAAGGAAGTGTAAAGTGTAATTATATTTTATGATTGTTAACGATCGATTAGCGTTAATTGTAAATAGTTGAAGTCACAGTTGTAAATACCAAGAGAATATGATTGTATATAAATTATGTTGAATTGCAGAAAAAATGAGGCATTTAACGCTAAACTTATAAAATCGATTTTGATGTGAAACTATATATATATATATATATATATATATATATATATATATATATATATATATATATATATATATATATATATATATATATATATATATATAGGGGCTATTGATAGCGTTGACCGTATTTGGGTGCCGATTTGGGCATTGCCCAATTTAAAAATGTATATATATATATATATATATATATATATATATATATATATATATATACATTTTTAAATTGGGCAATGCCCAAATCGGCACCCAAATACGGTCAACGCTATCAATAGCCCCTATATATATATATATATATATATATATATATATATATATATATATATATATATATATATATATATATATATATATATATATATATATATATATATATATATATATATATATATATATATATATATATATATATATATATATATATATATATATATATATATATATATAAACATCTTTGCTTCCAACAAGGTTGCAAGCAAGGGCTTGGTCATTATGATCAGAAATAACATCAAGAAGAGTGCAGTCTTGAGATGAAGAAGAGCGATATAGAACAAAGAGAAAGATGATAGAGTGAAGTGGTGCTAACTAAAAGCACATAAAAGAGTAGTTTGTGGATTCAAACCTAGTTTCCCAACAAATAGGTGAATTCTTACAAATGTTAATGTCCAGGCCAAGCATGTGACTATTGGAATAAAAGGAAGATAACCATCAACACTAAGATCCCAAGATGAGACAACTGAACTTAAATTAGTCTCACAAAGAGCAAGTAGGTCTAGTGAACTTTGCAAGAGATAATACTTAACAGAAGAAAAGTTACTTCGAAGACCACGAATATTAGTGAATGGTTTAGAGAACTTGGTGATGGCAATGATTTTTTGTGTTTTATAGTTTTTGTTACTTTATTCATTTTTAAATTTGTTAATGAACTTGACTCGAAGCATAGATAGTACTGAATACACTGTTTAATAGCCCAAGCAATTGCCTCATTACTATTAATAAATCCTAAACCGTAACAAAGGGCTCCAATGTGGCCTTAGCAATGGACATTTAAAATACAAAAAGGGACACCATCTATGTGCAACATGGCACTGTTAATACTTTAATATTTTTCAGCTGTTGATGGAATCAGTCTCTCTGAGAGCTACCACAGAGTTTGGGAAACCTGACTACCAGTGGGCTTCAGAACCATAAAACTGAGTATATATATATATATATATATATATATATATATATATATATATATATATATATATATATATATATATATATATATATATATATATATACACATTGCAAATGTCATTTATAACATCTAACTGGGTATAAAAATGCAGTATCTTTTTTTTATGTTTGAGTACAGTAAAGACTTATTTATACAGCAGTACCATCATACGGGGCTACTTGGACCCAAATTTGATACATACTTGATGTTTGTGGTTCTCTCTCATATTTATGTCAATGTAAAAAACTTGTTGTTGCTTATTCATGGACTTATAAATTAATAATGATGATTGTAGAGAAAAAAATATTTGGGTGGACTTCTGTCCCCCCTTTTTTGGGGGTAAAGATTGGGTTCAAGTAGCCCCTGTTGTGGGGCTACTTGAACCCATAGTGTAAAAAACCCTGCCCTTTTGAAGTTTCTAGCAAATCTCTCGGATAGCTGATGATGTCTTCTAATAAAAGCTTTTACCAATTTGACACCTGAGAGATTTTCATTGTAACATTGAACATCACTCCCTAATTGATCTAGATTTCACAATAATTCAAAGATCAAATGAGGTCAGTGGGTAGCCAAAAGTTGAAGCTTTATTTAAGTGATCACAAAATGACTGTTCTTCTTCAGGTGTGAAGACAGCGGGATGCCCTGCATGTTTTTTGTGATAGTAAAGTGTCTTCTTCGAAGCGCTCTATTAATGCTGGAGCGGCTGATTTAAATTGTTCTTCAGCAAATCGTTGACTCATAGCTCCACGTTCAATATTAATACAGACTTGCTCTAAGTTTTTAACGGTATGGTCTTTGTAAGTTCAGGACCTTAATTTTCTTTTAAATCTGCGAACCATTCTGGTAGAACCAGTTATGATAGTACGAAGTATACACAAAAAGGTGTATAACAATATCTTTAACCAACCATCAACATTATTTAGGTATACACTTTATAACCTAACAAATATTAAAAACATGGTAAAAATAACAAATATATCAACTCCTTTTAAATATATTATTTCACTTTGGAGTTTAATGTTAATGAAATATAAACTTAATCATTTTCAAACATAAGCTGCTACAATGACACTTGGGTTCAAGTAGCCCAAATTTAAACTTCAAACATAAAAATAATCTTTTTATCAAAATAATAAAATTAAAAGACAATTATAATTGCTACATTTTGTAGAAACTGATACTTCTTTTAGGAAATGCTGTCAAATAATTTTTATCTTTTTTGGTTATGTTTAGACAGACAAAAGTTTTATAATAAATTTTTACCATTATTGTCGTTTCCTTTAAATAAAATATTTTTTGATCACTTTTTGCAAAAAAATTTAACCCTTTTTTATTTTTTATGTTACTTAATTTGAGTAAGTGTATAATTAACTTATTTACTTTCATACCAAATAATTTTATAAAGCATAAACAAATAAATAAACATTTTATTTTTTTGGGTTCAAGTAACCCCGGGTAGCTCAAGTAGAATTTAAACAAAATAATTATAGTTATGCACACAACTAAAAAAATTATTACTAAAGAATTAAATAATTTAATACAAAATAACTAAATAAATAAATACCAAAGAGCTACAGTAATTATTACAAATTAATTAAATTGCTACATAAATTTTCACATATTGTTGCACAAACCAACACAAAATAAAAAAATACCTGAGACATATATAGACCTGATGGCACTAGCCCAACCAAGTAAATCTTTCTGGTAATAATTCTTTGGTTCAAGTTTGTAACATAAACCCAGTAATAGTTTTTGAGAACAAATCACAACTTGTTTACTAGCAATTTCACCAGTAGATAATTCAGTCAAGCTAGCCAGATAAGCTTGGAGAGTTGGGTATTTATCAGGCACACCAAAATACTGAGCAATACAAAATCTTTGATTTCTAAAAATCATTATAAACATAAATATAAACTAGTAAGTTGTTAGCAGAAGCTATAAAATAAATAAACTAAAATAATGAAACAATAATTAAACAACTTGTATTTTGTAACTTCTGTACTTTAATACCACAAAACAAAATTTTATCACTCTTATTTTGTTTTTGAATTTATCATTTACAATGCATAGACAAATTTTCATTCATCTTACTATAACAGTAATAAAAACTGAACCAATACTTAATATTCAATTTTTGGTTAGTATATCATACGAAAAATGTTTATTTAGTTTATCTTGTATAGAAAGATATTACTCTGGGTGAAATGAGGAATTTTTCAATTCCTCATTTTCTCAAGAAAAGTTCATCAAAGCATTATAAATTCTTAAAAAAACTTTTATTAAGTGCAACAACTAATCAATTCAAACCCAAAACAAATACTATGAAAGCATTTTAAAATATATTGCTACAGTTGATTTTGTTTACCATAGTTAATTTTGATTACTTTAAATTTAAATTGCCATTTTTGAGTAGTTATTTTAAAGCAATAATCAATGACATGATTGGTTAAGAGCAATCTATATATTAAGATACAATTACCAATAAGTAACTGTTTAATTTGATAGTTTGATCACAAGAACAACACCAGAAATTACTTTGACTTCTACTAGAAGTAATGTCACACCTCAGATTCAAAAGCCCTTCACCAAAATTAAAAAATGCTTTTTTGCAAATAATAGAAAAAGCATGTTTTAAAAACAAGAATAAATAAATCAATAGAATTTAATCAAAAATATTTTTCATTAAAAAAAACTTTACATAATTAAACAATATTCAAAAATTAGAATTTATATTTTTATATATACGAATTAGAAATTATATTTGACAAATATTTCTTTGTCTCTGCAAAATCATCTCTTGTTGAGCGTATCTTTTGTCAGAGTGGATTGATAATGTGTCCTCATTGAGCTTATATATCTGATTTGTTGCTCGAAACTTTGATGCTTCTTAAGTGTAATAAAGACTAATAGGCGTATTAGTGATTGTTAATGGTTATGACTTATAACAACAACAACAACAACAACAACAACAACAACAACAACAACAACAACAACAACAACAACAACAACAACAACAACAACAACAACAACAACAACAACAACAACAACAACAACAACAACAACAACAACAACAACAACAAGATATTTATTTTCCTTTTTCAAAACTTACATATAATCATATAATAACAACAATAATACTAATAATAATAATAATAATAATAATAATAATAATAATAATAATAATAATAATAATAATAATAATAATAATATTATCTATAATAATACAAACAATATAATTATAATAAAATATAACTAATAAGAATAAATATAAATAGTTATTTGAAAAGGAAGGTGTCACTCAAACAGAAGCCTGATCAAAGGAGTGACACCAAATAATTATAACAAAAATTAAATAATAATAATAATATTATTTATATGATGTAATTGCGTAATTCCGGTTCACGGTTATGTTGAACAAAGAAACGTGCAAGTGAGTTTCCATTTTGGTCGGGACATTATATTGAGAGACACGAAGCAAGAACTTTACTTGTAGTGTGGTGTTATTAATAAATTACATATTGAGTTATTACTAAGAGTTGTTATTATATTCAGTGGTGTTATTGTTACTATTAGGTTATAACAATTGGCGACGAAGATAAAAAAATGATGCATTTATCGAATATATCTTGTTTGGATTTAGAAAATGACGATTTTGTAGAATATATTGAAAGATTTGACAATTTTCTACTGGCTAATGACATAGAAGATGCTGAAAAACAAAAAGCTGTATTTTTATCAACCATAGGAGGACCTGCTTATAAACTTATCCGAAGTTTATGTGAAAATGACACAAAGAATGAGTTTTACTCAAATAGTTAAACTAATGAAGGACCATTTGAAACCGATACCAAACTCCATTGCACAGCGTTTTCAATTTTATAAAAGAGATAGAAAAGATGAAGAATCTGTAAGCGGGTATATTACTGAATTACGTAGACTATCTGAACACTGTGAGTTTGGTGAAAACTTGAATGATTATTTAAGGGACAGGTTCGTTTGTGGATTAAATAATGAAAATGTGCAACAAAAATTATTAACCATAAAAAATCTAACGTTGGAGACAACACTTGACACAGCGAGAGCATATGAGACAGCATATAAAGATACCAAAGCTATACGTACAAAAGAAAGCTTTATAGAGCAAGATGAATTGCATAAAGTAGAAATTCGGACAAAATCAGAAGAAAGTAAAGAATGTTTTCGTTGTGGGTTTAGAGGTCATCAAGCAAACAGTTGTAATTATCGTTATTTAAAATGTCATACATGTGGAAAGATAGGGCACATAAAGAGAAAGTGCAGATCAGAAAAGAAAGAGTTAGATCATAGGAAGGAAAAGAAATTAGGTGTGAAGAAAATTGGGATTCAAGATGAATCAGAAAAGCTCTATATTCAATAAGTGAAGAGTCCGATAAAGTGACTGGACCAGTTATGGTTAACGTAAAAATTAATGGAAGTGAGGTTTCTATGGAAGTGGATACAGGGGCAGCTGTCTCTGTAATGGGGATCTCAGCTTACAAAAGAATAAAGAAGAATGAAGGAAAATTACAAAATTCTGGTGTTGTTTTGAAAACCTACACAGGAGAGCTGATTAGACCAGAGGGAATAGGGTTGGTTGAAGTAGTGTATAATGGACAATGTTGTAAGTTACCTATAACTGTAGTAAAAGGAAATGTGCTCACATTAATGGGTAGAGACTGGATGCAGCGTTTAAATCTGTAATGGTTAGAACTGTTTAAAAGAATGAGAGGAATTAATTTTTGTGATAAGGTTGATTCAAAAGTGAAGACATTAGTAGAAAAATACCCAGAAGTATTTAGTGATCGTTTAGGGTGCTTGAAGAACTTCCAATGTCACATACCACTACGTGAGGGTGCAGAACCTAAGTTTTATAAAGCAAGACCAGTACCCTATGCTTTAAGGACTAGAATTGAACAAAAACTTGATCGCTTAGAAGACCAAGGAGTTTGGAGGAAAGTCCAGTATTCTAAATGGGCAGCCCCTATAGTGCCTGTCTTAGAGAATTCTAAGGATCCTACTGGTCCATTAAGAATATGTGGAGATTATAAGATTACAGTAAATCAAGCAGCTCCAGTTGACAGTTATCCAATACCGAATATCACTGATCAGTTAGCCACTATTGCAGGAGGAGAGAGATACACCAAGCTTGATTTGTCTCAAGCTTATCAACAATTGGAATTTGATGAAACTTCGCGAGAGTTTTTAACTATAAATACTCACCATCAGCCGACTCGTCTTTAATTTGGTGTACATAGTGCGACTGGCATCTTTCAAAGGGAGATGGACAGGAGGCTGGGCAGACTGTCATTTGTAAAAGTGCGAGTAGATGACATACTTATATCTGGGAAAACTGATGCTGAGCATCTGAACAACTTAGAATCTGTTTTAAAAATTTTGAAAGAATCAGGACTGATGCTAAAAGTATCTAAGTGCTCATTCATGCAATCTGAGGTGGAGTTTTGTGGATTTATAATTAGTCAGAAAGGTTGTAAACCAACAGCACGGAATGTGGAAGCAGTAATGAATGCGCCTCGACCCACGAACATCAAGGAGTTAAGGGGATTTTTAGGAATGGCCAACTATTACAATGCCTACATACCCAGGATGGCTTCCATCACAGAGCCTCTCCATAATTTGTTAAGGAAGAACGTAAGTTGGGAATGGAATAGAAACAGTGAACAAGCCTTTGAAAGCGTAAAAACTATATTGTGCAATGCACCTTTATTAGCTCACTTTGACCCATCAAGGAAAATCGTGGTTCACTGTGACGCCAGTCCATATGGCGTAGGAGCCGTTTTGAGTCAACAACAGTATGATGGAAGTGAAAAACCTGTCAGTTTTGCTTCAAGAACATTAAATATGGCAGAGCGAAATTATGCACAAATTGAAAAGGAAGGATTAGCATTAGTTTTTGCTGTAAAAAAATTTCATCAGTTCTTATTTGGACAAAAATTTACATTGTATACAGATCATAAGCCTCTATTAGGACTATTTTCAGAAAGCAAAGAACTTCCTACAAGAGCTGCTGCTAGAGTGTTACGCTGGGCTTTGCTATTGTCAGCTTATGATTACCAATTACTATATTGTCCTGGTGAAAAGAATGCAACTGCAGATGGTCTAAGCCGTTTACCTTTAGATGTATCAAAGGAAAAGTCAAGGTTAAAAACCAAAGAGGTGGCTATGTTGGAACTAGTAAAAACCCCAATTACAGAAAAACAGTTAAGAGGAGCTACCCAAAACGATCCAATATTAGGAGTGGTACTGAATAGAGTGTTAGAGGGAGGGTTGACGATGGAGCCGAGTAAGGTGGAGATGAAACCATTTGCATTAAGGTTTTCTGAGTTATCAACGGAAGGAGGTTGTTTACTGTGGGGAAGAAGAGCGATAGTGCCAAGTGTCTTAAGAGAAACGGTACTTGAGGAATTACATGAGGTGCATCCTGGAATAAGTAGAATGAAGGCTTTAGCAAGAAGTTATGTTTGGTGGCCTGGAATTGACACAGAAATAGAGGATAAAGTAAAGAATTGTGAGACATGTCAAAGAAGTCAGAAGAATCCATTAACCTGGTCTCATCCTTGGGAATATCCAAGTAGACCATGGGAGCGACTACATATCGATCATGCAGGCCCAATGAATGGAAAAATATATTTGGTAGTAGTTGACAGTTTTTCAAAATGGATTGAGGTGGAAGTAGTGCACAGTACTGAAGCCAAAGCAACAATAAAGGTACTCAGAAAATTATTTTCTACCCATGGTATACCGCGAGTGATCGTTAGTGACAATGGATCTGGATTTTCGAGTGAAGAATATAAAGAGTTTTTATATTCAAATAGAATTAAGCCAGTGTATTCTGCACCGTATCATCCT